TTCCTGGCCTGGAGGAGGCCCATGTCTGGATCTCCATCCCCTTCTGTGCCATGTTCATCATAGTCATCTTGGGGAACTTCACCATCCTGTTCATCGTGAAGATAGAGACGAGCCTCCACGAGCCCATGTACTATTTCCTCTGCATGCTGGCCATCACTGACCTGGTCTTGACCTCATCTGCCCTGCCCAAAATGCTGGCCATCTTCTGGTTCAATTCCAAGGAGATAGACTTCAATGCCTGCCTCACCCAGATGTACTTCATTCACTGCTTCTCAGCAATCGAGTCTGGGATATTGGCAGCCATGGCTTTTGATCGCTATGTGGCCATCTGCCATCCTTTAAGACATTCCGCCATCCTGACAAACAGTTTGGTGGCCAAAATTGGCCTGGCCGTGGTGCTACGCAGTGGCATAGTCACACTGCCCTATCCCTTACTAACGAGGAGATGGCCATATTGCAGAACCAAAGTCATCTCTGAGCCATATTGTGTACAAATGGCCGTAGTTAAACTGGCTTGTGCCGACACCCGTGTCAATAGCTACTTCGGCCTCTTTGTGATGTTCTTTGTCATGGGTCTGGATGGGATTTTCATTGCCATCTCCTATTTGCAGATCCTTAGAGCCATCTTCAGCCTCCCCACAAAGGACGCCCGACAAAAGACACTTTTGACCTGTGGCTCACATCTCTGCGCCATCATAATCTTTTATATCCCAAGTGCCTTCTCCTCCCTCATCTACCGTTTTGGACAGAATTTTCCCCAGCATGTCCAAGTTCTTATTGCCAACATACACTTCCTGCTGCCCCCCATGCTCAACCCCATCCTCTATGGGGTAAAGACCAAACAGATCCGGAGCAGGCTGCACTGGCTTGTTACTCGTAAATAGTGTAAAGTTTTCTCCTGGGGATCTGGCTCTCAGTGTGTCCATGGAGCTAAAATGCAAAGTAATGTGCCACAGTGTACTCTGCCGGCCACCCTTTCTGAAATCAGCAAGGGCCATTGATAAAGGTGCACCAGCCAGAATATTGTGTCTAAAATCAGGAATAAATTTGTATAATTCTGTTTTAGGTTTTAATATTAGTGTTATGAAATAAGTAATTGAGTATGATGATTGGGTTTTCTTGAAACTGTAATTTGTTGTTTGTGATTAAATATTCATATAGTGTGTATGTAACAAAGAAATCAGTTCTGTTTTGTGGGTGTGAGAATGAGGAATGTGTGTTAAGAGATAAGTGGGAAAGCCAGTTCATAGAATCCTAGGCTTGGAAGATCCCTCAGTCATTGAATCCAACCCCTGCCCAAAGCAGCACTAACCCCAACTAAATCATCACACTCAGGGCTTTGTCAAGCTACGACTTATAAACTTCTAGGGATGAAGATTCCACAGCCTTCCTAAGGAACCCATCTGAGTGTTTCCCCACCTTCCTATGGCAAGAGTTTTTCCTAATATCCAACCTAGACCTCCCCCACTGCAACTTGAGCCCATTGCTCCTCATTCTGCCATCTGCCCACACTGAGAACAGCCTCTCTCCTTCCTCTTTGGAATCATCCTTCAGGAAGTTGAAGGCTGCTTTCGAATCCCCCCTCACTCTTCTCTTCTGCAGACTAAATAAGCTCAAATCCCTCAGTTTCTCCTCATAAGTCATGTGCTCCAGCCCCCGAATCATTTTTGTTGGCCTCGGCTGGACTTTCTCCAATATGTCCACATCCTTTCGGTAATGGGGTGGAAGGGCTAGGATTGGATGTGTTGGGATTTTGTGGTTCCCAGAGAGTCAGGTGCTGGGCAGAATCAAGGGTCTTCGATACTTCAATTCAATTCAACAAGACTTTATTCAATGTGCACAAAGGGAGAGTCCCTGGTACTAAAATCAGCCAGAGCCCCTCGAGCAAGTGGAGTATTGTGTCCAGTTCTGGGCCCCCCACTACAAAAAGGATGTGGATGCATTGGAGAAGGTCCAGCGGAGGGCAACCAAAATGATTAGGGGGCTGGAGCATATGACTTATGAGGAGAGGCTGAGGGACTTGGGTCTGTTTAGTCTGCAGAAGCGAAGAGTTAGGGGGGATTTGGTAGAAGCCTTCAACTTCCTGAAGGGAGGTTCCAAAGAGGATGGAGAGAGGCTGTTCTCAGTGGTGACAGATGGCAGAACAAGGAGCAATGGTCTCAAGTTGTGGTGGGAGAGGTCCAGGTTGGATATTAGGAAAAACTATTTCACTAGGAGGTGGTGAAGCACTGGAATGGGTTACCTAGGGAAGTAGTGGAGTCTCCATCCCTAGAGGTGATTAAGTCTCAGCTTGACAAAGCACTGCACGGTATACCTAGACTTTAGTAAGGCATTTGGTTTCGCATGATATTCGATACTTCAATTCAATTCAATTCAATTCAATTCAATTCAACATAAAGGGAGAGCCCCTGGTACTAAAATCAGCCAGAGCCCCTCGAGCAAGGAGCCCCTCCCCTTGCTGTTTTATAGCACATGGCAGTTACATAACAGGTTACATAACAAGTTATATAACACAAACTTCTAAACCAATCATATTCAACCTTTCCATATTTGGCTTTGTTTGTCACATGCTTGTACTTCTCCACTCCACATGTTGAGTTCACCCCCCTCCTCTTGGTCTTTTCTAGACTGTTCCTAGGGTGGTGAGCCACAGCATGCTTCTTTATGCATACCTAATTTCCAAACCACATTTTGTTTAAAATGAACACATGCATACCCTTCAGCTGCAGTACTCCAGATGTGGCCTCGCCAGTGCTGAATAAAGACGAGTATTCCTTGCATCAGAGTCCTTTCAGACAAGGCACAGAGCTGAGATCACTGGTCGCCCCCCACCCCTGTGATGAGTCGTACAGACACTGAACCACTTCAGATCCGAGGAAAATGTAGTTTGGGGCCCATCTTCCTGGGATACCGCTCTCCAAATGAGACCAGAACCCCAATGAATGATTTGGGTGAGCCCCC